AAAGGTTTGTGTCGAAGCACTGATCCGTAGAATCTCTAGGATCTCCCGTTGCCTCCGTGATAAAGAAGATGTGGGATGAAGAAAAACATCACTTGGACATTATGGAAAGACTCGCTGCGAAGCACGATGTCCCTCATACTGTTTTCCAGCCGATCTTCAGTGTCGCAGCATATGCCCTAGGTATGGTAGCTACCGATCTTCCAACACTTCACAGTCTTGTTCGCTGCGGACGCTGGAGTGCTTTAGGACGGGTCGGGTTGGCGCGGCGCCAGCCGTTTCTCCACCAGTTGCTGAAGGAGGCAAGCGACAATAGTTGGTGGAAACGCGCTGGATCCAGCCACCTGACCCGCCTCAGCATTCGTAGCCAGCAAAGCTGTGCTTATTTTATCATAGGGAGCAGATGTAGCGCAGGTACACTGTCCGTGAAAACCAAAAGATGTGTCACATAACAGGTTATTGACAAGGAAATGTTGTCAGTGACGTACTGAAACCACTAATCAACTGTTATGTGACGTCAGTAGCACGTCATCGATCCCTTAATGATGCACTGGGACGCGCACCTGTTCCACAATAGCACCTGTGATAAATCAGCCGTACTGTAGTTAGTTAAGTTATTTGACCCACAATGCAGGTGTGGGCACAGCACTTCTTGGTAAAGAAGGAGCCATGGCATGTACGGTTGCTGTAGAAGAGGTGATCGGACAACATTATAACGACCAGTTGAAAGGTACTAGATTATTATGCGTACCCAACCCGAACGAACAAGTTTTTGAACAATTCTCATTGCAGAACTAATCGCCGACGATCCGGAAGCCCATAAAGATCTTCTCGAAACACTTACGAAGCTGCGAGATGATGAAGTAAATCACCATGATACTGGGGTCAAATATGATGGACCCAAGGTAATATTAGTTCCAGACGAACTGCATTACCTGTAATGGGTGAGGTGAGGCGTCGTCGTATGACAGTCACACAGAACATGAGCAACTTCTGGCATGGGAATAGGCAGAGATCCCGGCCCTGGATCTTGCATAGTTCACCCGATACCCTGCTTTGCGGCAAAGGCTGAGTAGCCAGTTTTTGCTGAAAACTGGACTGAACTGGAAACGTAGCTCTCGCAGCAACAATGCAACATTTGCTGTGATCTAAGCAGGATCTACAGCTAAGTTCTGCGGCTATTTTGATCCTGTAGGCCTAAGTTTGAATTGCAAGCTTCTTTAAGTGTTCATATGATTGGGGCGGATGACCCTTGAACTATCGTTAATTTATCGTCCTTTTCAAAAGCCTACATCTTAAATTATAATGAATTTCATTTTCGTTCCTCTTGATACAAAACAGATTTCATGCTCAGGTAATCTATAGAATTAAGGCACCGATGTACGACGTGCTGAAATGGGTGATTCAAACTGGCTGTAAAGGCGCAATTTTCATTGCGGAAAAGATTTGATTGTACTAATAAACTTAGAGTTCTTCTTTTCGTATATTTTGAGTTGTCGCTAGGCCTAGTGTATGACGATCTCGATTTTTTTTCGCATAAATCGTGATTTATTCTTGTTATTCTGCCTGCTCAAACTGCAATTTCGGTTTTGTTGCTAATGGTGCTTTGCTACTCGATGTATTACGATCGTTTATGGAAAGTTGCATTGGAAAAGAAATGCCTATTTGGCGCAGCTGGTGCGCCGCAGATCTGCTACTTGTTAACAGTTCACTTTGTCAGCCTTGTCATCCAAGAGTACGTTAATACTCCGCAACTTGAACACTTAAATCAATCAATATGGTCGCTTTGATCGTGCGCGTGAGTGTGAAAGCCAATGGTTTTTTCTTCCTCACCCCCAGGCGAATCTGGTACCAATTAGCCGGCTGTCAAGGATAGAACGCTCGGAGCCTATGGCTCTGATCGCGCGATCACAGCGACCGAATCGCGAAGTATGAACGCTTTCTAAGGTATTACTAGTCTCGAGACACGTCCTTACCGTGTTGTATGCCTTCAAGATGTCTTCGTTCTAATACTGGATAGATGACGTTTACGTAGTGCCAGAAAGCTCGGCGAGTTAAAGGGATACAAAGGAATTTGATCTGAAGCCTGTGCCAAGCTGGGTACATCATCGTGAGAAACCATATAGTGTTCTGGAATGCCTCCAGAACCTCCATCTTATTATAAGTGTCATCTCGACACAATGAGGATATTATGTGAATGTGACTTAGGCCCCTAGCAATGTATTTATGACCCTTGGTGAGCAGATTAGATAGACCAGGCGCGACCCCGCCTGATGTTAGAGTTACGCCCTCTTTTGTAAGCATTCTACCACTAACCGCTCGATCAAGCAGTCCTCAATAAACGACTGCAAAGCCCATCTACTGTGAACATATAGTAGAGAGAGGGTGTATACTCTAGTTCGCTGCGGACGGTTGGGCGTGTCAGGCAGTATGAGTGTGTCACCCCGTCAAAGCCGTTCTCTGCCTTCTTGTTGCGACAAAAAGTGGTAGAAAACGAGTAATACGAACGAT